CTTGAAGAAATATTTTCTTCATTCCTTTCGCTTTCTAAGTTAACTGTCTCAAATTGCTTCTTAATGGCTCCTATTCATCAGCTGGGATAATATGGACAGAAGGCTGTTAATGTTTCTGATCCTGCACTGTGTCTCCCAGCTCAGGAGGGCAGCTTTGGGTGCTGTGCCCATCACCTGCACCCATTACAGGGTTATGCAAAATGGCTGCGCTCTGCAGGAAATCCCCCCCCCCCCCCTTCTGCAGCTCTGCACCCCCTCTGGGGTAGCCGTCTTCCTCCTACTAAGTGAGAAATTCAGAAATCCTGGTTTGGAAGGGAAACCCAGAACCACAATACACTGCAACACCCTTCGGAGGTCTTTACGAAGCCCCAATACCACAAGGTCCTGTCTCCACCCTTCCCAAAACAAGGAAATTAACTCCCACAAAACTTTTTTTTTTCCAGCTGTACGCCAATAATAAAGGCCGCTCTTTCTGCATCCCACACAAAACTGTCAAACAGGAAGTGCCATCTCATCTTGGGAATAACTTTAAAGGACATTCCCCAGATGGTGCGATACAATGTTAAAATGATATTCCGACAGTGGGAACTCTCAAGTTCCACTCTCTTTTTGTCCTTAAATACCCAGAATGGCTTTGATATTTTATTCATGTAATAAAAATGGCTGTTTCTTCATTTTTCCCCCCTTTGTAAAGACCATCTGTGATATGCAAAGTGTTTAATGACGGCACCTTTTTCTTTTATTATTTTTTAATTTACAGTATGTGTTGGTGCTAACACAGTTTTAAGGTCACAGCACTGGTGACTTTGTTGAAAGAGGAAACTATTGCTATTATATTAATGGATGAACTGCTGAAAAGATACACTTTTAAAGTGCTTTCATTTTAATTAATGCACAGAGGAACATGCTGTCAGAGGTGGTATGAAGCTGCATCTCTCCAGAGAAGGAAGCAGGGCTGAAATAACACGCCGTGTTTTCAGAAAGTGGTCTGCCAGCACCATTAGCAAACTACTTTGAGAAAGGTCAGGGCTACACAGTCCATCACAACAAAAAGTCTAAATGATCGGCTCCCACGACGGGCCCCGCGATGATGTTAAAACCCAGATATTTATCAGCAAACAACGAAAGCCTCACAGCATCAAAATAGCATCATATTCAGTCCAGGCTGATAAAAAAAAAAAAAAAAAAACTCCACTTCTGTGCACCAGGCTTCACTGGTGATCAAGATAAATTCACGTAAATCTGAAATTTAATCGGCATCAGCCCCAGAGTTTCTAGGCACAAAAAAAAAATCATTTTTTCATTCACTTGACAAGGGGGTCGATACGGACCATGCTCATTAAGTATGCCACAGTACTAAACTCAAAATTTTCATTTGAAGCACAAGCACATTTTAATTCTAGAAGATTGACCTTTGTCAATTTGTTTGTGTGTTACAATTTAGAATCAGTTTATAACTTTGAAATTCAATAATTATGAATTATGAGGTGCCCTTACATCTTTCGTTTGTATTTATATTTATCTGCTGGATAATGCATTTGGTTATATAAGTAGCATTTTTACCTACACCTTAGTATACTATACTTTGCAATGCTCATTTTCACAGCTTTAAACCTTCCTGAAGATTCAGTTCTCTGCACGGATGCATCTACTGCAGCCCAGCCGCACCGTACATTTATGCAGGAATAACTATATAAGGAATCTGGTGCAGGTCTTAGCAAAATAATTGCTAAGCATCTTGGGAGAAATAGCAGTTTTTCAAAGTTGGGTGAAGTTGAACTTATCCTGGTTTTTAATTGAACACAAAACATTTATTGCATAGTTGTTTAGCAAAAACTTGCTTAACTTAAAGTTTCACACTATGCCCGTTTGTACAGCTGGATAATTCTAAGTATTTAAATCGTGAAAAAGTCTGTAGGAACAATAGTTCCCATATATTCTGTGCTCAAGCCCCGTCTCAGGTACATATACTTTAATGATTACACCACCTGCTGGTTCTTAATGACCTGCTTATAAAGTCGATATTCTAACAGAAGGGAGTGATTCTCTATCTCTGATCCACACTCTTGTTCAGGTAATAGTGTGGAGCCAAGTGTAGAACTGAAGAGCTGGACCCAGTTTAAGAGCTGCCCAAAATCTCCACCACACCCCCAGAGCTGATTAACTCAAAAGCTGGGATCCTTTTCTCTCCTTCACCGGCTCATCCCTTCATCTTGGGCCCGTAAGCTGCTTTTCCTCTCGTGTGCGGGACACGAATGCATGGGTGATTTCTTTTTCCTCGGACAACAATGGTGTCCCTTTAAGCTCCCCCCGTCTATCTCTCTCTCCCACATAAACACTCGCACCTGTGTAAGTACACACACACCAACACGCAGCTCTGTGAAGCGCAGTCCAAGGGGACAAGGGGGCGAGATTGTCTGTGTCAGCATACGCAAGAGTGAGCGAGTTTGCAGCCGTATTTCCATTTTTATCCTTATGCAACAATGTTTTCCTTTCACTTTGACTCACTAGCAGAGACACAAGCTCTCCGGCCTCCCCTGCACCTCTGCCTGCTCTTCACAGAGCAGTAACCAGCACCTCGACGAGAGGTCCTCTCTCATAGGAGCCATGGACATCACTGCTATGGGGTTCAGCCTTGGGTGGACCTTGTGGTCACGTGACCAACCGTCAGACCATACTGGTGAAATCAAAAACAGCAGCTAAATTGGGGTGTTAATAAAAATGAAGAAACATTTTAAAAATTACATTTGATGCCAAACAATAAACATTGGTGGCATGGTACCTCAGTGTATAGGTAGATTATCTCTAAATTGCCCATAGTGTGAATCCTGTGATGCACAAGCATGTGGTCCAAAGTTCCCCTTTCCTTGTACAGTGTGCTTCCTGTGATCCAACCAATCCTATCCTGGATGGAATGATGAACCCTATGCTCTCCTAGATGGTTAAGAAACTCACACTGGATGGGGGACACCTCCTTCTGCTCATTTACATGCAGCACTGCGGCTGAAGCAAACACCTTTGGATACCTTCAAAAGGGCAGGTTTCGCTGTTTGTGGAGTTCCGGTGCTGTAATTTGCTGCTGTTTCCTGTGCCCTGCCCTTTTCCTGGGCCAAGCCCCTCCCTGAGCATTCGCGGATTGATTTATGAGTGTAATTATGCATGGAGATGCATTGAGAGAAAAGGACAATGGGAAGTAGACTGAGAAATAGCAATGGATTGTGGGATACAATGAAACATGCAAGCACGTGTGATGAACACTGTGGAGGAAATGTCGTTAGCCCTAGGACTGGCCTAGACATGCATGGTGCCATGAAAAAGTATGTCCCTCTATCAGACTCTGAGTCACAGTCATATGCTGTTCAAGAAAAAGTGATTATGTTCAATGCTTCTTCCATTTTATGCATAAAATAATCAAATATACTTTGTTGAAGATTGACAATAATAATACAGTCGTCCCTCGCCATTTCGCGCTTCGACTTTCGCGGCTTCACTCTATCGTGGTTTTTTCAAATACATTTATTCATTAAAAAGTTGATAGACAGTGAAAATGATACAGCACGCACTCTGTTGTCTGAGTCAATTATACACCTCTGTATTACAATTAAAATTAAAATGACTGTACGTATGGACTGTAAGCCTATGTATTCGAGCACCCCCGCAAATCTTTCAACGCCAGGTGCAGCCGAATAATAAAGAAATAAAGATTCCTACTTAGTGGAAATTCATTTAACGCGGATTAACCGCGATAAACGAGGGACGACTAATACATTTTATTTATAACGCACTTTACATTTTCTGAGAAAATCTCTGTGTGCTACAAAACCTCAACAATCTAAAAATGTAAAAAGCTATGAAGCGAAAAAATTAAGAATGATAAAATCTGCTAAAAAGGAAGGTTTTAAGGGCTTTTTAAAAACTGTCAGTAGATTGGGCTGCCCTGAGAGTGTCCGGAAGGGCATTCCGGGGGCGAGGCGCATTGGGCTGCCCTGACAGTGTCCGGAAGGGCATTCCGCGGGCGAGGGGCATTGGGCTGCCCTGACAGTGTCCGGAAGGGCATTCCGCGGGCGAGGGGCATTGGGCTGCCCTGACAGTGTCCGGAAGGGCATTCCGCGGGCGAGGCGCATTGGGCTGCCCTGAGAGTGTCCGGAAGGGCATTC